GACACAGTCGGCGGCTGGTCGCTCCGGCTGAGGGCGAGTATGCGGTCATTTGTGGACTTGCCACCCGAGGGGAAGAACCTGGCTCCGGCCTGAGCCCCCCTCCCGCCCCCGATCTCGCACTGGCTCATTAACTGCTGCTCACTTTACAGCGTCTGCAAGAAGCCAGAAAACAAAAGGGCTCATGTCGCTTGAAAGCCTATGGCTGTGAACATCTAAGTTAGCACTTGTCACAGTGTACATTTTTCAAATGGTATTTTAATGATTTGTATGGTGACACGCTGTTTGCTCAATTATGAGACTTCAGGGACTGTTCTGTCAATCAAGTCTGTCAATTAGGAAAGTACTCCTACACCTTTTTTTTTTTTTTAGTCAACTGTATGAATCTAATTAGGAGGCTAAAAGTCTAAGACGCCAGTAAAAATTAAAAGATTTACATTTCTCAAAAAGAACTTTATACTCAAACTTTTCAGAATCTCAATTCCTTTTCACAAGAGTCATTCTTCATTTCTCAGGTCTAATAAAGAGGTGTACTGTGACTAATTCAGCATGATGATTTAGTCTTAAACTATTTAACTGGGAAAAGCATTTTTGTCAACATTGAGTAGGATTGTATCAGGCAGTAAGAAAATCCAAAACGCTTCAAATAAACCATGCCAGCTGGTATCCCAACTTGGGAAGAGCTGCAGAAGTGTCTCGCTGCCCGCCCTCAGCCCACCCGGCGTCCTCCAGGCCGCTGCGGGAACGGGGGAGAGTAACAGTGGTGGAACCAGGCCCTCGGCGTGCCCAGAGCTGCAGCATCTGTCATCGTGTTCCATCCCCTTTCAGCCTCTTCCAGCCTCATGTCCATCTTCCTCTAGGTCAAAGACGGGCAGAGCCTGGGCAGAACTTGGCAGATGTCCTGTGTTGGGCCCCACCTCAGAGTGTATCTTACATCATCTGAAACTGCTCAGTTAGGATGAGCACGGGCCCTCCCGGTGACCGCAGAGCCAGCCTCCTGGCTGTTCCCACACAGCCTCCGCAGGCACATCCGCTGCAGCCCTGGGGGGCTTTCCGTTCCACATCTCCTTTCTCATGAAGCTGTTGTGGGGGTTAAAGGAGCCAACGTCCACAGTGTCGGGGTCCTTCTCATCCCCCTTTCACAGATGAAGGAAGAGACACTGAGGGGCTGACGAAGTCGCCAAAGGTCACACACAGGAGGTTGACCAAGTCCCTGCTCTTACGTCTTGCCTGTGCTGCCTCTAGTGTTTGGAAATTATTGGAAGGGCAGAGAGAGTTCTTAAAAAGAATTCCAGGAGAACAGGACATTTCTAGTGCGGCTGAAGCGCTGGTTTAAACCACGTCAGGCAAGCTGGTGTCTGCTCGGTCCCCTCTCGTGACCCTGACGGTCTCCTGTGCAGCCTCCCGCTGGCTGCAGCAAGCATGAACAGCACGCCTGTTCCTTTGCTCAGACATGGCAAGGAGTTTGCTTGAAGCCAGGACTCCAAGCCGGGGGCTCCCCTCTAGTAGCAGTAAACAGCCACTTACCGAAAATCTCATGCTTGATACATTGCTTCGAAGGACTGCACGCTCTTAGCCTGTGCTCCCATCTTGAACACACCTGCCATCTCCCTTCCAAGCCCACTCAAAGCCAAACTCAAAATTCTTGCTGGGAACATATCCAAATAATCATGCTTGAGAGCCCTTCCCCAGACCGTGAGCCCATGATGGAGGAGGAAGGGGAAGGGAACCCCAAGCTCTGTCAACCCTGCTCCCCTGCCGCATGCAGATGGGCAGGGGCTCAGGGGAAGCCGCAGGGCCAGGGCGCGCCCCCCCTCTCCCCCGCCCTGCAGGAGAACAGAAACAGTGCCCCCCCCCAACATCCCCACCAGGAGTGGGCGGGGCCAGTTAGCCGCATCTCCAAAACCAGTTATATCGGGTCCTGCACACTCCTCTCCACAGAGAGCAACAGAGAAATCAGGTTGTTTCCTATTTGTTACCTACCCGGGTTTCTATTTCCAACAGTGAGTTCTAGTAATAAAATAGTTTAAGATAGAGAGCTTTGGCCAGCAGTCTGAGGACTTGAAATCGAAGGCCCCCTCTTCTATGAATCAACAATATATTGGGACAATCTCATCAGATCAGTAATATTAATAGCTCAACAAGATTTATGAAACGCCTGTTGTGTCAGGCACTGGCTTGGACTCCAAGGTACAAAAATGATTAAGATAGGCCTCTTGCCTTCAATTAATTTGTTAGTGTTTTCTGTCTGCTCAATAAGAAATGCAGTCCAGGGTTTCCTAAGCACAGGAATACTGTAAAGGAGACGTACTATGTAAAAGGTGTGATGTGTGATCACTCAGGGTCCGTGTGTAGCAGCAACGTCATAATTAGTGAGTGACGGCACTGCCTTCAGAGAACAGTTACCCCCCAAATCCTATACACATAGATGAACCTCAAAACAAAACCCTGCAACTGTTGATCAGTGTTAGCAAAACCTAATGTCTCCTTTGCCAAGTTCATACGAATCCATATCAATACTTAGAAAAGTAGCAACCTAAGTCCCGGGAAGTACTTAAACTACAGAGAAGGGCAAGATTCTTCAGAAGGAAAACTTATTTCCATGCTGCTAGTGTTAACTGTCACCAATATTATTACTACTTCGGCTGCATATGGAGGGCTGTCACGTGCCAACACCATGAGAAGTGCTCTGGTTACATTATCTCACTGGAGTCTCATCATTACTTCAGAAATTAAATATCTAAGGGATCCACTGCCTCCGTCTGATTAGTGGGAAACCAAATTATACTGCTCCGGGTAACTGAGTGAGTGACAGAGCCTGGGCTGGAACCCAGGCGCCTGGGTCCAAGGCGGGCACTGTTTGGCGAATCCTATCAGCATCTGCCGGGTCTGGGCCATGACCTTGGACACGGCAAGGAGCTGCCACACCCCAAGTTGACTTGCACTGTACCTGGTGGCCATGCTGAGCGGTGACGGCTGCTCCCCAGTACTGTGNACAGCTTCTGCCTCCACAGACCTACTCTCCAAAGCTGTCCATCTTGAGTCATAAAATGACCTTCACTCATTCATTCATTCATTCATTCATTTGTTCATATTATAAACATTTACTAGGGATACAAGAGGCTGTGCATCTTCCGAGGGCCTTAAAATAAAAATAAAACAAAAATAAAAAAACCAGCTTGAAACATAATAATATAATTCAAGGTTCTTGTAATACATTGGAATATGAAATAAAATTTCTCCAAAGAAAGCACTGTGTCCATTTCACGGTTTTAGAAACTGGCTTCAGTGTGCTATAGAACTGAAGGGGGGAAATCTTACTTTTGCGGCTTGCGGCAACTCTCCCCACAGCCAGAGCATTTCTAGGTTATTCTTCTGCAGGGCCCTGTCCGCAGACCGACTGACCAACTCTGAATCACTTTTAGGTGTTGAAGGTCGGGAACCTGAAGGACTTAAGAAAACACATATCTGTGATTACAGTGGCAAGAAAAACTTTTTAAAAATATTTTTGGCCCAAAATTCTATGGTTCAAATAGCCCAGAAAATGCACCCAAGCCACCATTCCTTTATGAGTGTGGCTTCATGACATGTCTCATTTGTGGCCACCAGGGGTCCACACAGGACACTGTTCCAGGAGGAAGGTGCTCCCAACGTGTGGGTAACCCTGTCCCAACCTGCTGCCACATTTCAAGTAGAGAAGATGAGAAGTAGCATCAAAGAGAGAAAAGTGTGCGTGTGTGTGTTTGGGGGGGGGGGGAGAGAGAGACAGGAAAAAGTTTGTTTTTACCTTAAAACCACTCATCTTACCCCACACCTCACCCTGAGGCTCACCTCTCTTGCATTCTCAATTTCCAAATCAAGTTTCTCAACAGCTGCCCACGAGTCCTGGCCATCTCTGGCAGGCACCCCTTATATTCTATATTTAATACAGTTGTGTATCCATCCGCACTGGCTTTGAAAACAGGGAAGTTGCATCATGGGCCAAGTTTACCACAAAGGCCGGATGCCACAAGTAAACTCACTAATGTGGCAGGGGCCTCCAAATTAAAAGTTTATGAAATATTATACCTTCCAGGAATGCCTCGAAGGCTCCTACACTCTAAGGCTCTTTCTGTGACAACACATCACAACGCTTAATTCACAGGCCAGCGTTTGAGCAGTTATAACTTATGTTCTCATCTCTATGTTTCTGATTTTTTTACTCTTGAGACATGAACAAAGTCTCACTTCTGTCCAAAGTCAGCGGCCAAGAGAAGTCAGCTGACCTACAAGATTCTCACAGCATTCTCAACAGCATCCAGGTAAATAATTATCCCTGTAATTATTTAATGTCTTTATTCTCCTGCATCATTTCCTCTAGAGTAAGACAGCAGTTGTAAAATAAACAGAGGAACAAAGCCACCACAACTTTCCTTTTGCACCTTCCGCTCACTGATGTGCTTGGTCCCGTGTATCTATCTGTCTGAGTTAGATTCTACCCCGTTTGAATATGGGCTTTCCTGTCAGGACAAGGAGAACTCACGGATGACACATAACTTGTATCAAATAGGGACCCCTAACGGCCACATTGATCCTGGATCTGTTTATTCAAGCCATTTGGACCAAGCGGACTAAGCGCTCTCGCCTTGGTCTCCCACTGAGGTGTGTGCAGGCTGGTTCCCTCTCCCGTGGTGCCAGTGCCCACCAGTCTGTCCACATGGCACCACGGTGCAGCCCCGGGGCCCACTTCGCCAGACTGGAGAAGAGGGTCCTGAGATACATGCGGTGAGAGCATATAAGGGACACCTCCCCCAACACACACCCTTCCCTGCCCTTTGGGAAGCAGCCCACGAGAAGGAACACTGGGCGCTCCTCACGTCCGCGTGGTAGGCAAAGCATTCATCACCTTCCAACCTCCTCGTTTCCTCTAGGTCTGTAATTAAGCTTTTCTCCTAAAGGTCAGTGCTTTTCTGACAGGAAGCGTCCAGAATTCTATGTTCAGTATCAGTGGAATGTGCAAGGGAGTACTGTGGCCTCCGGGAAGGGGCCTCTGTACCGACAACTGTACCCCGAATCCATTCTTCTCGAGTCATCACAGAAGACAACTTCCTACCCTCACCAGTGCTGCACCCAAATCTCAAAACATTTGTTGACAAAGCTCCTGCCATTATATTTATCACAGAAAATAGAATCTATGTGTTTTTATAAATTCTGTGGGACAGTAAACTGTCTCACCCACTGCCATTGAATTAAGTAAAGCCCGTTAGGCTGAGCTTGCTCTGGAGGAGGGGGATCAGCACACTCTTTCTGTAACAGGCCCGAAAGCAAATGCTCCAGGTTTTGTGGGTTATGCGTTCTTTGCCGCCACGACTCGATTCTGCCATCGTAGCGTCAAAGCAGCCAAGGACAGTATGCAACCACGCCGGCTGCACCCCCACAGCACTGTACACTAGCAGATGGCGCGCTAGCTTTGGTCCATGGGCTGTTGGCTGCCAACCCAGCTCCAGGAGGATGCAAACGCTGAACACGGTGGGAGCACACCTCCCAGCTCCAGAATCCCTACCATTCTGGACCTCTCGGAAAGCCGTAAGCCGTGAGGTCTGCACATTCATACTCATCGGGAACCAAGCCCTTGTGGAAGTCATAGCTGAAGTCCCACCTCTCCCATTCGGTATGCCACGCCAGTAGCACTGGCCCCTTGGGCCACACCAGCCTTTGTCAAAGGCTTCTGGACATGATACACATGCGCACTCGGACAGCTCGCTGGGGGAACTCAGACTGAGTAAAGGTGAACAGAGGGAAAGACTCCCGATACTGACTGGGACCGAAGAGACAGATGATCCCCAAATTTCCCATTATCAAATATTAGATGTTTAAGATCAAGGGTTGTTCAAAAAAGTGAGCTTACAAGGTCGCTGACTGCTTTGCATAAATAATGCATTTATTAGCCATATAATAGTTTTCAGTATTTTTGCCAGTCCCAATTAGGCAAATTGGCTAAAACTGCTCACAACTCAGTCGGCCTCATTTTAAAATGGCCTTTCTTCTGTATACGTACATCTGAATGAAGTACCTCCTGAGATTTGGTTCTTTAATCAAAAAGAAAACCAGCGTCTCATGCAGAAATTAATCATAGCTTCGTTCGCTCAAGTTTTAAAGTAAACCCCGGAAGTCCACCACGTAGGCAGGTCAGGGTGTGGGCAACCCTGAGGGAACAGGGCAGAAATCTGAGGCCACTGCATCAAACGAAAAGACAAACCTAGGATCCTAAACTTTAGGGTCCAGCCTACGCCATTCTCCAAAACTCTGTTCTAGAAATGCTGGGGAAATATCTGACTCAGTTACTCAGAAAGTCTAATAAGCTATCTAAATATTTATAATAATAATTTCCCTAAAGTGGCATCCTAAAAAATAATCTTGTAAACTTATTTGTTGAACCACCCTGGGCACAAAAGATCATATTCCCAATTTTTTTTTCATTATTCTATTTTTCAAAGCACTGCAGAATTGGGAAGAATTATATGTTTAACTATAATTTCCAGAGTCAAATGTAGTACTTAAAAAAAAAAAGAAATCGAATAATCTACAAATGCTTAAAATGAAAGGAAAATAATAATCATCTACATATATTTTCTTCGTTAAGTAATTTGGTTGGTTAGTAAAATTGATTTGTAAGAGTTAGATCAAAATAGTATCGAAGACATCCAAGTGGGAAAAATAACCCTGCTACCTTTCCGAAGCATGGAAGTGAGACGACTGCGGAGGGCAGGAGCTAGACAGCCCGCCCTCGGCCACGGCGCCAAGGTCAGGGGGCGTCCTTTTGCAATCTAGCAGGCTACTGGATACCACGTGATACACAGTAAAAAAAAAAAAATGAAATGAAATGAAATTTTATATAAATTATATGACCACTCTCAACAATCACATTTGTAAGAAAATGAACATACTTAGGCATCTGACAACAGCAGAGGAAGCTATGTTGAAATCACTAAGAGATCAACATGAATTTTCTTAACTGCAAAAACAGGAAACTGACAAAAGACCAATTTCACTTTCTATTTCATCCACATGCCCATAAAAGATTGTTTTCCTCTGGTCAGAATTTACCGCTTAATCCAACCACATACCCCAAGAAGTTGATCAATTTGTGCTATCAGTTGTCTCTTTAAAGAAAATAAAGATTCCAAGTATGGAAGTTTATCTATTTGTCCTAACTTGTCACTGCATTTGACAGTGGTCAAACCCACATCATCTGATACAGTCGTTACCCTGGATTCACAGAGCAAACCACGAAAGGCAGAGAAAGTTATTCAGGGGTCTGTTTAAAACAATTATTTTAATTCTTGCAATTAATGTAGGGTGCTTGAATCTATTAGTGGTTTCTAAACATTCTGCATATTTTCTTCCTGAAGTACTGCGTTTTTCTCTCCTGAGGGTTTATCTCCACACGCCTCGGGGAGACCATATGAGATTCTAGAATCTCATCTTACATCTGCACTGTCCGATAAGACAGCCACCAACTGATTGCCTGTGGCCACTGAGCATGTGACCTGTGGCCAGTCCAAACTGATGTGCTCTGTCCCTGTGAGATACACAATGGTTTTAAAGGCTTTCGATGAAAACAAGAATGTGACACATCTCATTAATAGTTTTTTTTTAAAACTGATTACTTGAAACGATATTTTGGATATTCTGGGTCAAATGAAATACACCACCAAAGTTAATTTCATCATTTTCTTTTTACTTTTTAAGGATGGCTGCTGGAAAATGTTACTTTACATAGGCAGCTAGNCTAGTTGGCTATTTGATAAATGGACATAGACTACAAAAGAACGTCTGGCTTGGAAATAAAAACGGAGTCAGCGCATGGGCGTGGGTGAGGCTGCCGAGGGGACAGTAGGCAAACAGGAGAGAAGGCCCCGAGACAGCCCTCGCGGGGCCCGTTATGGGGACTAAGCCAGAAGAGGAAAGCCAGGTGGACACAGTGGCATGGAAGCCAAGCAAAGAAAATGCTTCAAGAAATAGGTTGGGAGGTAGACAAAGATCTGAAAAGGTTTACAGGCATGTATAGAAAATGGAAACCAAAGCCATGTATATTTAGACATGCCACTTAAGTGAAATGGCTAATGAGAGTTAGTCTACGGGTGTAAGTATACTTCACTAAGATCATTCTCATGAGCAAAAGGAAAATATTTAACTTAAAAAAATAATAATAACTTAAACTCTCAGGTCGAATCCCTTCTTTTTACAGATGAAGAAATGTGCCAGGGGAAGAGCGACTCGACCATGCTCTCCGAGCTAAGCGGTAACAGAGCAAGGCGGTGAGCCCAGCGCTCTGCGCACCTTTCCAGAACCTTCTTCTCTATCTTCCTCACACACTGTGATGCCTTTCCCCATCTGGGGGCAGAGCTGGCTACTGCGAACCCAGTATTATGGCTTATGCTTGTTTCCCTGACATAACAGCTTGAAAAACACTATCCACAGCCAAAATTTACTGAGCTAAGCAGAAACACTCTTTCATTTTCCACGCTTACCTCCTTGATTGTGGTATTTCTTCCCCTCCATGAAAACCACCATCTTCCTCCCTTTCTGGGCATCTTATCCCTCATGATAGATTCCACAGTGGCCTGTTTTAAATGGATGGTAACATAAATAATGGAACAAAAAAAAAGATCAACTTAGCACATTCAAACCAAAAGACACACACATGCAAATTAAAGTAAGAGGAAAAAAAAATCAAGAGAAAAAAAACACAACATACTGTTTGTGAATTAAAAATTTTCGAGAAGCAAAACCTAATAGCATCCAAAATTACATGAAGGTAACTTAAGCATGAAGACTTAAAAAGATGTTAAAGGAATAAACAAACAACAACAAAATAACAACAAAAAAAAGAAAGCATTGAAAATCATTAGTGGTTAGTAAGACCAAAAGTTTTCAAATTAAAGTGGCTTACTGGTTAAGATACTGTTACTATCAATACGATGATTATAAATTAAAAAATGAAATGATTACTATGGGGTATAGGGTAAAGAGTCTTAAACAAAAGGTAAACTGCACAGAATGTTTTTAGTAAATGTCAATTCCCAAATTTTGACAAACTGAATATTAATAGATGCATTTAAAAATCTCNTGGAGAATGAGCTGCCCCCTCTGTAAGTACCCACGCCTGGGGCCACAGGAGAGGCAGCCTAGGGGCTGCAGGCCGGCAGACTGGAGCTCACGGAACCCATGTTCAGTGCACTGTGCCGGGTGCTGTCCACACAGCAAAGAACCTGGCCCCTACTTTCCCAGAGCTTTCGTCTACACTGTCACGGTCCAGCAGGACCAGCGCTAGGCTAGGAAAGCAGCGGTCGCCGCGGGGGCAGCTGGACTGGGGGCCTGGGAGCTGCACGGGACAAGCTGGGCTGGATTCGCAGACTAGGCCATCACCGGGACACAGCCCTGGTGGACGAGCCACAGGTTAGAATCCTGGTTGGTCCACGGCAGGGCTAAGCCACATGTGGGTGGATCCACACCTGTGGCACTGTCGCTGATTTTACGGAGAGTGGAGATGGCTCCGCAGTTAGTCTGAGAAACCCAGGTTTGAAGGCCGCAGGAACTTCAGGCTGTTACCTGCACAAAGCCCTTCTTTTCTTTCAGCCCTGATTTCCTTATCTTAAAATGCAGAAAAACAGACTGCATCCCACTCAGCAAAGAATTCCGGACGCATGAATGCAGGCAGATCGCCTGTGAGGAGCCGGACAGGCAGACACATGTCCCAGGAAAGGCCTCGCAACCTGAGGATTCCTCTCTGGGCCTCAGTGGCTCATCTGTAAAATGACACGTTCCAACAGGAGTCCTGTGCAGTTCCAACCCCTACAGATCCTCTGAACAATGCTGGTCCTTCTGAACCAACAGCCCAGAGGCTTTCAGACAGACAGGGAAGACAGTCGCAGAGCCCATCGGCCTGACAAGCGCCTGGGTGGAACCAGAAGGAGAGGGGGCTCCCGGCCCCTCACTGAATTGGAAAATGTTTAGGTTCCATCCAAACAGTTTGGCGTGAAATGAGATCCAAATGTGAACNCCCGAGTGTCCTCGGTGGCCCCTGAAGCAAACCCTTTGGGTTTGAATCCTACTTGAGAGATAAGTATCCAGAAAGGCTCAGTCGCCTGTTTTCTCCTGCGGACAGTTAGCTCTGTGTCTCTGTGTAACCCAACAGGTCACCTCGGGCGCTAAGAGCCACATCTGCAGTTCAATTTTGATATTAGATAAAAGTTTATGACCTGCACGTGTTGTTTTCAATCCTGGCATATAATGTACCTCCTGCTCTAAATTGCATGTTTTCTGGTACTAACTAATTTCATGTTTTATTTATGTTTCACTATTTTGTTATATATGCTTCCTATTATTGAGTTCAAATCCTCTGGACCAGGACAGGCGAGCACACTGACACACACATAAACCTGCAACTTACCTGGAGTTTGGTGACCATTCTCTATCAGAATTAGGGTATGAGGCTGACTGAGAATAAGGCATGACTGGGGAGACGTTTTCCTTAGGAAGATCTTCTTGGAATGGAGGCATATCACTGGAAAGAGTTCTGGTAAAAAAAATAATAATAATAATACATTTTAAAAAATTAAAATTAAAAAAATAAAGTCAAAGAATTATTAGAGATAAATTCATGGTAAAGACAAGTTTCCACTTCTTCCTGATTATCTCTTAGTGCTTTGTAGATTAACCTGATCTCTTTTTAAACCACTCAGCCATATTACAGGCAGCGGAGAGGGAAAATGCATTTTGTAAGTTCATGCTTTGGCTGAATTATACATGATAAATTACTCTGTCCAAGGGTTTGGACTTTATGTTAACAAGATACAAAAACAATTATCAAAAGTTATACTGAGTTACATAAAAATCTGAAACATCCAATAGTTTTTACAAGTGAGTTTTCTTTCAAAACTGGCATTTTTCACCAAAAAATGGTAATACGCAGAAACAGAATTTCACCACACTGTTAAAAGCAAAGAAAAATAAAACAGGTGTCCCTTAAGCTTTGGGCCTAATCAAAACTGGAAAAGTTGGCGTGTAGAGAAAACTAGTCATGTTCTACACTGACTTGTAGCCCTAAACCTATCACAGATCAGCTCCAGGCTACAAAATCAGCCAAGCGCTGTGTATGTGGTTGGTGCCCAAGTAAACATAAGGCAGGTCTGAAACTACGGTTTCGTGCATGAAGCGTTAGTTTGGTCAATTCCTGGTTCTCTGCTCTGCTCTGGAATGCTGATGTTAGCAGCCAAGAAGGCTGGCATTCCCAACCGTCTCTTCGTTATAAGCTACATCAAACCTTTTTGCTACATTAAGACTGGGTCCACAGGATTCCAAAATTCAGCCTAAAATGCATTAATAGAAGAATAAGGAATTCTGGGGGAAAACGTTTATAAAAAACATCTGGAAAAATTACGTCACTCAGTTCTCATACGGGTCTTGCCTCTGATTCATGTTTTTACCTGCCATTGTCCGGCGGGTCCGTCTCCTCATCGGAACTCATTTCTATGGGAAACATGTCTTCGTCTTCAGAGGTGTTGGCATTGTCGTCTCTTTTCAGGCTGTCCAGCTGGGACTTTCTCCTCCTCTTTCTTCTCTTCTTCACTAGAGAGCCACTTAAAGGGGTCTCACTGGGAGGTGAGACTTGGGCTGATGTGTTGGGGTCCAGGCTTCTTATCCTGTCTACAGAGTTCCTTTTCAGCTGGCATTCCATCAGCGAGGCTCCGTCGGACAAGATAGGGGAGGTGGCCAGGTGCATGGGGATCACCTCCTAGAGGACAGAAAATCGTTTCAAAAAAGAGTCTCGCTAATCCACGTTTAAGGAGCGGGATCGTGGCAGAGGCCTGCGGCCACTGTTCATTTCGAGGCCCAGCCCTCCTTGGCGAGGGCCACGCAGGCAGAGGCACTCAGTCACAGTGATCTGGAGACGGGGCTGCCGAATTTGATACAAGATCACACGGTCAACAATTCATTCAATGCTGTTTTGTACTGAACCCCTTCATAATAATAACAAACTGAGGTAATTATGAATGATTTCAGGTCTCTGAAATTCCACTTTTTCTGAAATATCCAGAGTAAAGATGAAAAAACTGGGCTTTTTGAGTCATCACATTACCCTGGGAACTGGACTCAATTTTGCATTCAGTGTGGGTAAGGGTGTGTGAGTGTGTGTGAGTGTGTGTGTGTGTGTGTGTGTGTGTGTGTGTGAATGTGTATGTGTTTTTTAATATGCACCGAATTAAGATAATTAAAAAAAAAAAAACCAACACCGAACAGTCCCCTCCACCGCACCCAAGTGCCTGCCTTGCCAGAGCACATCCAGGTATGTGGCTGTCGAGTAACTAGATATTGACTCTCCGCTTAAAAACCAAAGGAAAAAACACAGCCTATCATTAGCTGTTTGATAAGGACTCGCCATGTTTTTAAAAACTACAGCCATCGTTTTATTAATGAATGACTCATTTGTTATGAGAAACGCAATAACAAGAAGTAAAGAATACATATTAAAAAAGAGGGGATAAAGAGAAACATGCCGCTGATACCATAAAGCAGCTGAAAGAACATCAAATGTACTGTAGATCTAGTATAAAGTTTACATCTGAGAATAGAAGCCTCAGCTGGAAGGGACGTGAGAGGCCATGTCACGCAGCTGCTCAGCTGGACCACCTGAAGAAGAAATGCCGAGAGTGTTGACACTGGGTCAAGAGCAGAAAAGAAGGTTCCAGCGACTGAAAAAGAATGGGGTGGACCTCTGCAGGTGGAAGACAGGCAGCATCCTGTAGCAATCTGGTGAGGAAGGACACGGGCTCTTCAACTTCCTGCACCCTCTCAAGGACGGAAAGGGGCATCCGTATGGGACAGCACATACTGTGGCCTCCCAGGCCCCATCCCCCCATGGGCGCCTGTAAGCCCAGCCCAGCAAGCAGGCCCTCTGCGGTCTGCAGTTTCCATGGCATCTTGCCCAAAATTCTTCCTCAGCTCTTACAGCATAAAATCTATCTAAAGCCAAGAGGCAATCAGAAATTAAAAATGCAAGCGTCCACTCAGGTGGAAAGAGTTTGTCAAAGCACCATAGAAACCAATTAATAATTTCCACAGCCTTCCCTTTGACTAGGAAGATGAAGGGCAGACAGGCAGGGAGTCCTGCTGGCCATGGGGGTAATTACGGACGATGGAAGGCATGGGTAGGGACGCTGGTCCTCCTCAGATGTCACATCTTTGCTCCAAAAGGAGGCAGAATCTGAGACGAATGTTTTCCTAAAACTGCTAACTATGGATATTTGTTTTAGAGCCTAGAGCCATTTCTTTTTAATCAGGCTATCTTCCCCTACAGGAACTAATTCAAGTGAGATTTATTAAGAAATCACTATATCAGAGTGGCTTTCTCAGCGAGTGAAAAAGTAAACAGAAGTGGTTTATCTAGACGAAAACATAGGGATAAATCTTCATGACCTTGGATTTGGCAAAGGATTCTTAAATATGACACCAAAAGCATAAGCAACAAAAGAAAAAAACAGATAAAATGGACTTCAAAATTAAAAACGTTTTGTGTTTTCAAAGGACAACATCAAGAAAGTAAAAAGGGGCCGGCCGAGTGGCTCAGTTGGTTAAGCGCTCGCTCAAGAGTTTGAGCTCTGAGCAACAGCGGTTCAATGCCCGGCCCAAGCTGAGCTGCCAACAGGTGGTAGGATGGCTCAGCTAAAAAAAAAAAGAAAGAAAGAAAGTAAAAAGGCCACTCACAATGGAAGAAAATATTTATAAGTCATATATCTCATCAGGGACTTGTATCTAGAATATATAATGAGCTCTTAAAACTGAATTTAAAAAAGACAAATAACTCAACTAAAAAATAAGCAAAAAATCTGAATGGACATTTCTCCAAAGAATACATACTAATGGCTAATAAGTACTTGAAAAGATGCTCAACATCATTAGTCATTAGGGAAATGCATATCAATACCACAATGAGGTACCACTTCACACCCACTAGGATGCCTACAGTCACAAAGGCAGACAATAAGTATTGGTGAAAATGTGGACAAACGGGAACTCTCAGGCACAGCCGATGGGGATTTTAAATGGTGCAGCAGCTTTGGACAACTGTCTGGCAATTCCTCAAATGTTCAACAGAGAGTTACCACCTGACCCAGCAATTCTGCTCCCAGGTATGCACCCAAAACAAATGAAAACTTGTACACGAATGTTCACAGAGCATTCCTCACAACAGCCAAAAGGGGGAAACAACCCATGTGTCCATCAACACATGAAAAGACAAACACAATGTGGTACATGGATATAATGGAATGCCGTTCACCATACAAAGGAATGAAGTACTGACACACACGACAACATGGATGAACCTTGAAAATATTATGCTCAGTGAAATAAGAGAGGCATAAAAGACGACATACTATACGATCCGATTCATATCAAAGTTTGGAAGAGGAAAATCTATAGAGACAGGAAGTAGATTAGTGGTTGCTTAGGGCTCAGGGGAGGTTGGGGGTGGGGAGGTCATAGCTAAAGGGCACAGAGTTTCTTTTTGAGGTGATAAACATAATCCAAAATTGACTGTGTTGATAGTGAAAATACTAAAAACCACTGAATTGTACGCTTGAAATGGATCAATTGTATGGTTCGAGAATTATCTTAATGAGGCTATTAAAAAATTTTAAATAATAAAAATAAAAGTGATCTGGTCACTCATTAAGCAATAATTAGAACACTCAGCCATCTGCAATTTGACAGCCATATAATCTGTATGCTTTGGACAAGGGCTCAGGCCAATGCAACTCGGTTGAAACTGAAGCAGTCAGGACTGCTGAGTCGTGTGGACACGGCACATCCCAGCCTGTCTGGCTCAAACCCCCAGGACAGGTAAACAGCGGCTCTTCTCAGCGCCACGGTCAGATCCCGCATCACCTCTCCACACACTTCTGCTGTGTCTCCTAGATAAGCTTTGCTCAAAGCTCAAAACTAGGAAGTAACCTTGACCGCCCAGCCTTTCTTACCTGATCATTATCAGTCTCTTGAACAAAAAATGCTTCTCCATTATCTCCCAATTTCATGTGCAAGTCCACCGATTCCCCGTTGATTTCTATGTCAACCTGAAAGAAAAACATACTTCTCTACAACAGACCTCATGGGGGGTGGCCATGCGCCCACGCCCACACTTGAACACATACATCCCCAAAACATCACACAACTCTGAATTCAGTCAGTCTGGTCTGCCTGCTCTTCCTCATCAAGAAATGGGGTCCGCTCCCCTGCCCCACTCCCCACTTTCAGCCTGGTCTGGCTTGTGATTGTCCCAGTGAGTAAAGCACAACAGACATGACACTATGTGACTTCAGAGGCTAGGTCAAGAAAAAACTGCTGGGTCCACCTGGCGCTCGTGCCCGCTCGCTCTCTCTCAACGCTCGCCCTTGTAGCCAGCCACCATGTTGTGAGAACACCCAGGCGGCATGGAGAGGCCGCGTGTAGGCCGACATCCTTAGCTAAGAGTCCAGCCAAGAGCCGCCCAGCACGGAGTGAGCGTGTCTTCAGGATTCCAGCCCCCAGCCTTGAGTCCTCCCGCAGGGGCCCCAGAGGCAGCAGCACACGGACCTGCTGCACTCGGTCTGAATTCCTGACCCACAGAACTCAGGAGCTCAATAAACAGTTGGTTTATGCCACTAAATTTTGGAGTAATTTACACAGCCATAGTAACCAGAACAACTTCAATTAGTAATTGTCAATTCAGTGACTGGCCCTTGCCAACAAGAGCTCAGAATCTGGGTCTGCGACAAGCTCTGATATGTAAAGTCACAGAAATATAATGATTTTCTCTAAGAACAGACTCCGTCCCCCGGTCCCTGGGTTCTCGGGCCTTACCACTTTCTCTCGGGAGCGCAGGACCCCCATCTTCCCAAAGCGGACATGGAAAGGGGAGCACTGAAGGCTCCCGTTGGGCTGGCGGACAACAATGATGTCAATACAGCCAGACAAGGTGGCGGGGTTCAGCCCCTTGTAGAGTTCCTTCACGGTGACGAACACCTGGCCCGCCAGCTGCCCGACGTAATTCATGGTTTGAGCCTAGAAAACAGAGATACAAACAAAACACACAGGCACACACACAAACAATTAATTCGGGGAAGGTCATTTATCCAGAGCCGGTCAAAATGAACTCCTCATTTCAACAACAAGGATGACACGGCCGATGTGACCCCTTGCCCGGATCATTCTGTTCCTCTGGAATGGGCTCCACCACACCCACCCCTGCTGACCATCTCCCCCACCCCAAACAGCAAGCCCACAGCCTCCACCCTGGAGACACCAGCAGGCCTTTTCTCAGTTAGCACTGGGTCTTCCTCGCTGAGGTCAACATGTACCCCTTAGAGCATCCGGGTGACTACGGCCACCTGTGCGTTCTTTCACTATGTGCAGGTTTTACAGACTCAGTCTAAGACTCTTGAGAGAAAAGACTGTATTTGATCCTTCTTAGTATCCCCGACTGTGCGGAGGACAGAAGGTACTTACTGTGTACTTGGTTGAAAAAAAAAACCAACTACCTTTACTTCAGGGAAAAAATGGTTAGTATTTGACCAATTCCGTCCTGGTCCATGTCTGCCTGCATGCCTGGCTCCCACGCTCTGGGTATAGCTGTACTCAGCTTTCGTTTCTCTGCCCAGCTAATTGACATTCACTCAGCAAATATTCAGGACATCTACTCTACAAAGGTTCTGGTCCTGGGGATGGAGATAAATAAGACACAGTCCCGATCCACGGAAAGCGCTCGCCGGCTCATGAAGGAGAGAGAAGTAAAACACAAGTCACTAAAATATGTTGTGTCTGTTTGTGTTGTTTAAGGAAGCGCTGAGGGAGGTAGGACCAAGGACAGTGGCGAATACATCACAGAGGAGCTGGCACTGGGCAGCTCAGAGGAGGTAGGAAGGCAGACGAGGGCTCTGCAGAAGGACAGGTGAGTGCAAAGACACAAAGACAGGCTGTGTCTGCCCCAGAGAATGTGCAGGGGAAGGATGGAGTGCTGAAACCACGCTGAGAGAGTCTGACGTTGCTATATAGCAATGTGAAGCCACGATTTCGGAGATTTGCGAACAACAAAATGACAGTTCAGACCAGGATTTAGAAAAAAATGTTGTCATAAAAATGCAAAGACTGGCAGCAAAGGAAACTGAAGGCAGGAACCAATTTGTGGCTGTTGATGGTGCAGGCAAGAAATGATGCCAGCCTGAAAGAGGACAGGGACAGAAGAAATAGAGGCAAAGGGACAATGCAAGGGTATTTGGGCACAGAGCAGTGGGAGTCTGAGCGGGTGCGTTCTCTGGCTCTGTCCACCACCCTAGTGCTGATCCACACCTGCCGACTGCCCACCTCGGCACAGCCCCGGCCTCCATCCAGTCCCACAGTAGTGCCCTGTCACCCGCCCTGATGTGACTCAGATACCTCAGCCCAGTGCAAGGCACCGAGGTCTCACTCTGCGGCCTCCCTCTGGCCCCTCCTCCTCCTCACTCCTCTTCACTGGGCCACCCCACTCCCCACCCTCCAGCCCCCATCAAGGGTCCTTCTCTCTCTGGGTTCCTTCTTCCCAGCTCTAGCAGCACTCACACTTTGAGGCCAAGTCCAGACCCTCTTCTCCCCTCCTCTCTGCCCACTGAACGCTGTAGTGGACCAATGAGGCCACATGGTTCAAATCCCACCTGAGTAGGAAGGGTTTGCACAATGTGACTTCCAATCGATGGATCCAAGCCTTCGCCCTTCCTTCCAGCCTCAGTTCCCCAAGGCAATGACCTACCAGGGGGCACATGGGACACGCTGACCCCACCCACCTCAGGTCCCTTACAACCATCCAGCCGCCACCACAGCTTGTGCACACCTGTCCCTGACTAGCCTCCATTCACACCGTTTGGTTCCATGAACTTTCTTGCTCTAATGTGTCTATTTTGCCATGTGCTTCACCTGTCCCTCGGTGACGCCAGATTCTCCCTGCACTCCAAGGATCGAGCCTTGTCCTTTCAAGTTTAAGAAACAAAAAATACCTTTTGGAAGCCTCACCCCAACCTCTATGGCATAAGCAGAAGTGATATTACCATCCCAATTTACAAATAAGGACACTAAGCGTCAAAAGTGACTGACCAGATGCCCTGCATGCACTGGGCAAACCAGAACTGTGGATTTAACTCTAATTTAGGACAACTCAGAGACCTAAAAGCCATGAACAGAACCTGCAAAGGAAAGAGCGAGAAAACCCTCACTTCCTCTTTCAGGATGAGGTGATGCCCTCTGGATTCACTACCATCCGCCCTCAGATGAGGAAACAAGTTAGCACATTCAGTAAACACCCACGAGATGCACATGACTTGCCTCCCGGAAACGGAGTCACTGCCAGAGCTGTCCAGCCTCCATGCAAACACGAGTCACGTGCACATATATAAAATCACGTGATTTCCAAGTGTGTTTAGTGATGCAAGTTAACTAACTTCATGCCAAAAGGGGAGGGGAGACAGCTCCTGAGAAGATGAACAAAATAAAAAAGGATTCTTTGTAACCCTGATACTTTTTTATAGGGAATCATCTTATAAAAGAAATCACTTCCACAGTGTTCAACCCAGATTTGAAGACGCTGTGCTTACCGAGAGAGGGAAACCTCTGACTCTACAGCTATGGGCAGGCAGGATGAAAAGCACCTTATACGATTTCTTTCATGGACACTACCTCACGTTCACGTGATTCACACAACAACCCTGTAGGTAAGAGGCCTGTCAGAGGAGAAAACTGAAGGACGAGCAACATGCAACGAAGCAAATGGCCGGGACCACAGGCCTCTGAAGCCCCCTCCCCTCCCCGGCCCCCGGGGATTCTCCTAACTTCATCCCCCTCACACATGAGCTGTGCTCATCACTGAATGACATGTGACCACGCCCCCACACTGGGGTCCCAAAGTCCCGAACCCACACCAGAGCCAGTGCTGCTGCTAACACGGCTCCTGAGAAGACCACAGGACCCACCAGGCAATACTTTTTATTCATAAGAAAGAGAAAGATCGTAACTGGATGGTATTACCACCTCTCCGCGTCCTAGCTTCTCATCTGTAAAGTGAGGACTTTGGCCTAGATGACCTGCGAGGTGCAATTCCAGCTCCAACCGATCCAAGATAAGGGCTGCGCTCCTGAATTCTCAGCAGCCGAAAGGGCATCTTTAATAATTTAAGCTCAATGTTCCTCTGTTCTCCTGTCCTCAAGAACAGAGCACCCCTGCCCCCTGTCAATAAGCAAATTCTGGTTATCATGCAGAATCCAAGGGTTTTGAAGCTGGCAGGATCCTGATTGGTTGTTGTTCCGACACCCTCATTTTAAAGAAAAAAAGCCCAGGAATGGGAAGTGACTCGCGCAGAGCAAATCTGAAAATACCTCCATTTTAGAAGCAGGAAATCTGTCCCATAATTCTTAACAAATGACAGGGTCATGGTCCCACTTGGCAAGAAGCTCCCATCCTCAACACGCACAGCCTGGGGCTGCCTTAGCTGAGCCCTGAGGATTCTTTTAAAGAGAAACTTCGACCACCTCACACCTATTAAGATGGCTACCATCTTCTTAAAAAACAGAAAAAAGCAAGCGTCGGCGAGGATGTGCACTGTCGGCGGAAATGCAAAATGGTGCTGCCACTATATAACACAGCACTGCAGTTGCTCAAAAAATTAAAACTAGGAGTATCATATGGTCCAGCAACTCCACTTCTGGTTATATACTCAAAAGCATTGAAAGCAGGGATTCAAAGAGATATTTGCACACCCAAGTTCATAGACGCATTATTTACAATAGCCAAAGGGTGGAAATGACCCAAGCATCTATCGACAGATAAATGGATAAAATGTGGTACGTACACACAACAGAATATTATTCAGCCTTGAAAAGGAAGGAAACTCTGCCACATGCTACAATATGGATGGACCTTGAGGACATTATGCTAATAATAATCCAGTCACAAAAGAACAAATACTGTACAATTGCACTTACGTGAGGTAGCTAGAGCAGACAAACTCATAGAAACAGAAAGTACAACAGTGAGGACCATGGGTCCTAGGAATGCAGGGCGGCGAGTGAGTGTCTAATGGGTACAGAGCTTCTTCCTGCAAGATGAAAAGTGTTCTGCAGCTGGATGGTGGTGACAGGTGCCTCCAGATAGATGTACTTTTATGAAGTGGACTGAACTACACACTTTAAAATGGTTACGATTACAAACTGTATTTTACCACAATTTAAAAAAAAAAAATTTAGGATTAGGGCCACCCGAGTGGCTCAGTTGGTTAAGAGCTTGCTCAAGAGTGCGAGTTCTGAGCAACAGGGTCACCGGTTCGATCCCCACATGGGCCAGTGAGCTGTGCCCGAGCTGAGCTGCCGCTGAGCTGCCAACAGGTGGCAGGATGGCTCAGCTGGTGAGAGCACTTGCTCCTAGCAACAAGGTTGCCTGTTCGATGGTGGGCTACGTGCACCCACAACTAAGACTGAACTTGGCACCTTGAGCTGAGCAGTGCGACCAGACTTGGAGCTGAGCTAGCTGTGGCCTCCACAACTAAGAATGAAGGACAACAACTTGTCTGTTCCCCTCCCCCAATTCCCCAATAAAATCTTTTTTAAAAATTAAATTAAAAATTAAAACTATAAAAAGAATAAAAAATTTAAAGAGGGTGAAGGAGACTACTATATTAATGAGAACACAATTCTGGAAGATGAATATTATTTGGTTAAAAATTTTCTTTGGAAGAGAGCTGGGGCCCAGGAGGCATGGGACACCACCTTCTATGGGGAGAGGGGGGACCCAGTTCACCTCAGGCATCTGCTTGGCTTGGGGGGCAAAGGCCAGAGGGGCGACCACGGCTCTTCTTTATCTGCCCATCCTCCAGAATCCTCTAAATAAATGCTAGACAAATATTTAAGGAATACAAGAATAAGCGGGGCACCAGTTCCGAAGTTCCACTTCCTTCAGTTTGCTTTGAAGTAAAAGGCTCAAGAAGGAAGCTAATTTGATTGACCTGAAGATAAGAAGCCAGACAAACCAGCCTGATACTCACCTCC